TATTGATAAGAAAAAGTGCTGATTAGTTTTTGACAAAGGCAGGTTCAGTCAATTCAAAGATAAAGGGCAAAAAGTGCCAAAAATGATAATTCAGTTTTGATTAAAACAACATTTTTTGCATTGGCGAAATGAAGAACTGATTGAATTTTTGGGAAAGCAGGTCTAGCAGGTAATTTGGTAGTCAAAAATGATCGTTAGACATATGTACAACAAACTATCAGATATTTTATAGAGAATTTAACAATAAGTACAAATTTTGTCTCTAAAACAGCTATACAGCGCATCATCATTGAAAAAAAAAGTTAAAATTCTCAAAATATAAAAAAAATAAAAAAAGTCGAATTTTCCAAAAACTTGAAAATGTTCAAAAATTTAAGTTTTCAAAAAATTTTATAGAATTTTTAAAAATTTTAATTTTCGGTACCGTAAGTTGCAGAAATTTGTCTTAAGGCAGGGTGCCATGCACCATCCAAGTAGAAACGATAAATAAAGTTTTCAGTTAATTTAAATTATTTTAATGTGTTCTCTGTGACTGTTATATTATATATTAAATAATAACATCGAAATAATAAAATAGCAATAAAAATCCACACCGGTTAAAACTTATACGATATTGATGAATCCAGTATATTGCTAGATGTCTTTCAGAAGTTACCAAATATAATTTATGTTATTTTTTTAATTTGATTTTTATTAAATAGTTTAATATGAAATTATCTGCGTACGTGAAAATTTGTCAGTGTATTTACAATGTGAGTCGCGTGTTAATAACACATCACCAAAACACACACATTTTGCAATCTAATATTGACAAAGTTAAATGGCCAGTGTAATACCAATATTGTTTTCCAACTACGGCACACAGATATGGAATAGAAAAAAAAAATACGAAGAATAAATATATAGTTATACTTTAAACTAAACTTAAATACTTTTAAATGCAAACTGATCTAAATATAAAAATACTTTTGGCGAAGGAAGCATCATCAGAATCAATGGACAAGGATTCTCCTTAACCACATGGGCTATTTTCCATAAACAAATGGTTACAGATGACCAAATAATATTGAAATAATAAAAATAATATACTTTCTGGATAGCACTTGTTTTAGAACAAGTTACAATTAAAAACCGTAAATGACTTCCTCATATCCAATAACTTTCGTGATATATCATATAATGAGCTATTGGCAAGGAGAACCTAGGTTCCCCTCAGATTTACTTTTCTAGGATTTTGATGTAACTTTTTATGATTATAAGGCTGATAGTCATAACAAACTCCTTATAGAGTCCTACGAGAAGAAGTTTAATTGTAAAAATTAATTGAAGTTTCCAAGAATAGACTTCCCGTTAATTACGAGGTGGTTCTGTGGTTAAGAAGAAGGACTCTTAATTTTTACTCTTATTTTGCAACACATAGCTAGACATTTTATTTGAAAAAGTTAAATCCTTTAATAATAATATTCATATCAAAAATTACTAATCATACTCAGATCAGAATTAAGAAAAAAATCATGTTTTGATTTTACCTGTTTGTAATTGTGTATGTAATTTTATAAAACATAATTAAACGATAGTTCGTTTCTGTAAAGCGTTAATAGAAATAGAAAGTGCTTCCTATTAACACCTGCAGACAACAATCCAATGATTCCGTTTGGTCTGCAAAATTAGAAAATCCTTTACATCTTCAATATAAAATGTTAAAAATAATTTGTTTAAATTTTTTCATTTTTGACCTTAAAAGAAAAATAATATAATATCGAGCGGATTTGATAAAAATACAATTTTAATTGCGTTTTAGACTGCGTCTGAACCAATTTTAAAAATTTGAAAGCCATTTAAACAAACTCGATTAGCACTCGTTGGTAATTTTTTTGAGACTACCGGCTGAGCCGTTTCTTTGAATAAAAATAATTCGTCCGCGTATTCAATATATTAATTGTCGAGTGGTTTACAAGTATACCGAGTTTCTACAGATGATTTTAATATGAGCAACTGTTGCAAATTATGCAATTTCTTTAATGTTTTTTTCGTTTTGGACAATGGCTGGAATAAACCTAAAATGAAAAAAAAAATAAAAGGAACCAAAAATACCAAACTGTACTTTATTGGTACGCTCCGGAAAATAATACGATAGATAGATTTTCATATTTATAATTAATTTTAAGTATTATAGTAAAGAACTAGCTAATTAGAAGCAGATAATTTTAACAAATGTTTGAACTATAATCATCACTGAAAAACAAATGGTCCAAATAAATTACGAATATTTTTCTCTAATGCAAATTTCAATAATTTTTTTATAATATAAACCACTCTATCGCCAAATAAAGTTTCATTAGAATGGCCAAAAAAATTTTTTTAATGAATTATGAAGAAACGCCAAAAACGATCTTTACAAAAAACTAATCAGCATATCTTTCGAAAAGTGTTATGAATCCTCAAACTAGGTGCAACATTTTTTACGAAAACTTGATAAAAAATGCAGGTTTCTGCTAATTTTGAAAAAAGACTCAGTCACTTATCTAAAAAAAAACGCAAGTGCTGATCGAGGTTTATGGTTTCAAAATTTTGAAAGCTATTCGGCAGTTATCGTTGAAAAGTCAAAATTCGGTTCACATACGCACACTTTATTCCAATTTTGGTCTCAAACGATTCAGAATGACTTGATGTCGAGAAAAATTAGCAAATCGGATTTTCTGGCAAAAAGAAACATTCACCTTCGTGAAGTTTATAAAAACTTATTTTCATAATAAAATATAAAATTTATACTGAAAAATATAAATAATTTTCCGAAGCCGGTTCATTAATAAAATTGCTCTAATTTTCCAGGAAATAAACACTTTGATCTTCTCACATGTAAATTTCACTTTCAATTTATTGTATGTTTGCTAGTTCAATCTTTTGCAAGTTTATTTCTGCTTCAACTTATCAACCACCTTTTATCGTGGCACATATATCCTACATTAAAATCATCTAAATATATAATCAAGTAAATAAAGATAACTGCAGTACTTTTGTACTATTCCATCGTGTATCACTATCCAAATTAAAATTGAATCCAATCAAATTCTTTTAATATTCAATAATCTTTTTTCAATATTCTTTTTATTTGCAGAATTTTCAACTACATATTTTTATGATTTCTTGTCATCAATCACCTTTTTTCATAACACATATACTTATTCTACATTTAAATCCTCTAATTATTTCTCATTCGAGAAATTCTTTCGGAAAAAAAAAGATAATCGCAGTAATCTTAATCTGCATAATCTTTGTTCTATGCCATTGTGTATCACTATCCAAAATAAATCCAATCATTTTTTTTTATTTGCAGCATTTTCACATATATATTTTCATGATTTATTTGCTTCATCCTCTTCAGAACCAGCTAACATATTTCATAGATATGATCTTCAATATACCGATATGTCTGATCCTTAAAAATTGAACACAAGGAAAAAGTATACATATTATTTCAAAACTATTCCTCAATTTATCTCTGCAAAAAGAGTAAAAAATGCTTGTCATGGACATATTAAAACAAGCAAACCAAATGTAATAGAACACTCTTCAAGATTCTTTGTCGATTGTCTCATTCATATTTATTTCGAAAATTTTCATTAAAATATTAAACAATTGGTTAATCCAAAAACATTTCCTAATGATGCTTCTTTCTTCTTTACAAAATTGATCTGTTGAGTCAATACTAATAAAACAACATCTTAAATACATATTAAATTTTATTATATCATTTTATAAATAGATTCATCATAACATTTAACCAAGAAATACTAATTGTAAGAATTAAGGCCAATTTAGTTTTTCACAATACTCTACGAATATTTCAGATAGAGTTAATATATTACTGCTTATTCAGTCAAGAACATTAATATAAGAGATAGAAGCCATAAATACAAAGATATAAAAGAAATAATAGAATAAAATAAATGTCAGATCATTGTTGTTAATTTAAGAACAAAAATACTAAAAACATCCAAAACGATAAAGAATAAAAATTAAATAACATTTAACATAATACAAATTTAATAAATACCTTCTAATTAAAACTTTGACTTTTTGCTGTAACATATTTCTTAAAACATAATATTTAAGCAATTTTTATAATGTGTTACCCAGCTACCTAACAATATATGAGTATAGATTAACGAAACTAACATTTCTACAGACTCGTATGTAATTAACAAATGAACAGTATCAAATATTCTTTATAATTCAGTTTAACAATTTTCACCTCATTCTGTGACCTTTTTTCTGTCACTTATTATCATTAACTCATGTACATCGAAAAGATATTTAAGATAATATAACTTTCATTTGATGATTGAACTTGTTTTTGAATTTGTAGTAATGCTTATTTAGGGTATCATAATAATATAGCAACTCGGTGGTTTGCTAACATTATGTCTCCGTAAAAGTTGTTTAATATAAAAAATGCAATAGAAAATAAAATCACTATCAAACGAAAATAAAAGCACTATCAAATTGTGTTTATGTAACTATTATCAAATCGTGCAAATAGTGCTTCACTTCAATCTTAAACCCGTAATAAAATTTGAGTTATTATATAAAAGATGTTACACAAAAAACATTGATGAAGAAACAAAAATTTAAAAAAATTAAATATTACAAAAAGTGGACTCAAAGTTTTAAACATTCCTAAGTAAGAAGAGATGGACCCCAGGAAAATAAAAAGAATGATAAAAAGTATTCAACACATTTGAAATAGAAGATGAAATAATAGTTTTAGAGACAATAGAATTTAAAAGGTGTAAATCGGACATGACATATTGGTTTTAAGTACATATTGAATATAATTTTTGTTTTGTTTCAGAGAAAGAGTAAAAAACATCACATTTCATGAGAGAATCATCAAAGACACTACAAGAATACTCACAATACAAACTTAAGTGCAACAAGTTCTTACCAAATCTTGAATTTCATAATTACTATCCTTATTACATTCTTCAAGATATTTTCATCTCGATTTTCAAAAAATTTAGAAACTTTGTTCAGAAACTTTTTCTTCATTCGTATTTTCAGGTAGGAAACAAATTTTATAGCAATTGTCTGTATACATTTGTCATCAACAAAATAATCAATTTTCAAAATCATTCCTTCAAATAATTCAGGTAATCAGATTGTGATAATAATCAGCTCTTCCTAATAGTTATACTCTCTGAGAGAATACACCCCAAAACCTCTGTACTACTCCATTTATATTTAAAATGATATCAAGCGAGGATGAGCTAAATGTAGAGTATTTTATATTCAAGTAAAAAATATAAAATTATCAAAATACAAAATGTTAAAATAAGGGATTGTTCCCTCACATATGGAATGCATTAGAAGATGATTGTTTATATTAAATTTTGCTTTTAAAAAGATCACTCTTTATAAAAAGCTGAACAGGATATAAAATGCAGGAACTAACCATGGACATTTGGTCATAGGCATTCCCAATGCACAAGAACCTAAATACCACATCAATGAGAACATTATTCCTTGGAATGCTAAGTGCATGATCATCAGCCTACAAAAAATGTGTTCATTATTACACCAGTATATACATACAGTTTACATTAAATGCAAATTTTAAGATTTTTTATTTTTATCAAAAAAACAATTAAATCATTTTAACTTACATCGTGTCCTTGCCTCTTGCTGCATTGAGTGTTTTGGGTCCTTCATTGCTGAGGTATCGTCTGACACCTTGGGTAAGATCAATAAAATAGTTACCCCAATCCAAAGTTGCAATATCAATTCTGAATAAATTTTTGTCTACTTCTGAAAGGCTTTTATTTAAAGCAAGAGTTTTGCTGTTGTCAAATTTCCATTCAGTAAAAATAAAGCGTTCCAAACGGTTTAAAGATGCATTCACATTTGTGTGTAGTTTAACAAGACTGTAAATAGAATTAAATTTTCATTTCACTTACTTTCAAAAATTATGTTATAATCTGAGAATATAGTTTATTATATAGATATAAAATATACTTTAATAATAATTTATATTTTATCTCTGATTGAATTTGTTTGGAGTTAATTAGAAATCTATAGGTCCAATTTTAAAATTTTGGAAATCTCAATCCAAAATTTCAAAATACATGCTGATTGTCACTAAAATGCATTAGCAACTTTTGTGTTAATTTTAGGTTTTTATTTTGTCACTCTTTTTTATTTTAGAGTGAAACTAAGAAATAATGTACAATTTTGCAAATCTGAATAAATGCACAAACTTTTAGTGAAAGTTGCCAAGACATGTTAGCACAGTTTTTTTTAAAAAAATGTTTTTTCCTAGTCCATCAGTTTTAAAAATTTTAAATTCATAGTTTAACAAATACTCATAATTCTTGAAATCTTGAGGTAATTTTGTCATTATTTCTGTCTGTAGTTCTAGAAATATTATTCATAATTGTGGTTCAAAAACTTAACGGAATAAAACAGGAAAAATAAAGCACGACAATCAAAAAATTATCACAGTTTGACCAAAGTTGTAGATTGTACCTAAAAACTCTTAACTTTGGAACTGCATGGAATAAATATTTTTCCTAAGTTTTTCTAATTTAGTTACGATCAATACTATAACTCCCTTTATATATTATAATAATTCTGTATTAATGATTTATATTAGACTGTATATGAATCACTCATCAATCATTATTCCTCAACTTACATTGGCCGTCCACCAGCAATTCTAGTTACAAAATCTAAAACATAAGCAGGCAGGAAATGGAAGAAAAGCGCTGATATTTTGAATAACCAAATGCTTGGCAATAATTTTAAGTGTGGGTACCTAAAAAAAACATCATCAAAATATGAAACTTTAATCTTGTAATTTATATAGTTGTATTTAAATTATAACTGTATTTGTTTCCTTACCAGACAGCCGATTTGAGTGGATACTTATGTAAATATCCATTGATCTTACTTTCAACTGTAGCCCATCGGAATGGTCTGTATGTGCTCGATGTACAATGGTATATCAGTAAGTCACTTGATCTGTAAAAAAATATTTTAATTTATTATTTATTCATTGTATATCTCTTTATTATTGCTTACTTTAGTTTGGCAGCCTGATATGCAGCAACCAGCAACTGGTTTACAACAATATCGACAGGAATATAATCATAAATGAGATCTTTTCCAACTGGTAATCTTCTAACAACACCTTTAGAAGCACCCATCAAAAAACCTTGTGGACCATTCTTACTTATAGTCCATCCAGGAACGGGTTCTTTCCATGATGCAGTAACTATAAAAGTAGTGGTAATAGTAATCAATTATTATTACTACAATTATTATATTTTATTATTAATATGATATTATCAATATATCATTATTATTATCATCAAAATATCATTATTATTAATAATTTTTATTTAATTATGCAATTTTTATATACCAGTTAGTTCAGTCTGATTAGAATTTGATGATATTCAATAAATAAATAATGTGTACTTTTGCTCAAAATTTTCTAATGTACATATTTCAAAGTATTCGATAGAAAATATGGATTTATTAATATAAATTACTACTGAATATTTAAACATACTCAAAAATTTTGATATTTTCTACTGCATACCATGATATTTATCATTTGAAAAATTAAAATCAAAAAGACATAGGTATATAACTGAATTTTTCTGTCTCTGAAAATTGAAACTGAAATAAAAATTTTCAAAAAATTTACATATATAATACTAACTCATGCTAGGCCTGACAATAGCACAAGGAAATTTAGAAGCAACCTTATTTACTTCATGTTCTGCCAAATGTTTCGTGAATGTGTATGTATTTGGATGATCTTTCAATAATCTAAAAATCAACAATAATTAATTATATTCTAAATATTTAATATGATATAAGTCAAATATAACATTTCAAATAAACAATTACTTTGGTGTGAGTTCATCCAGGGCATCTTCACTGAGTGTATTGGCGAATCCAATAACTTTTTCAGCATCGTCTGGAGCTGGATATAATATTTCTTCTGTTTCGAGTTTAAAACTGTTCACATAAGCACTAGACACATGTACAAGGGCCTGTAAATATAAGTTAGGATCAGAATAATTAAAAACAACTTTATCAAAAGTAGTGTGATAGTTTATAGACAATATTGAATTTTATTTTATAGATCTTAGCGGTAAAATAAAAATTATTCTTAACCTCAGAGTCAAGTTTAAGGAAGTCAAGTAACTATAATAATCAAATCAACCTTAAAAAAAAATACATGCAATATCTGAATCTTCTAAACTTTAGAAGTTAATTAATACATTTCAAGAAGGGTTAATAATTAGCAAAAGGTGTTATACATATTTCATGAAATTATTAAAATATAAAATTGTAGCTTTCAGAATACTAACAACAAGCTTCTTCATTGTTGAAGCAAGTTCCATCATTCTTCTTGTTCCAAGCAGATTAATATCGACAGTTGGTTTTAACGTAGCCTGAAAATCTAAAGTGGCAGCACTATGAATTACAATATTGATTTCTTCAGCTAACAATTGTCGGTCTGCACTCGAGATGCCCAACTCAGGTTCTCCGACATCACCAGCAATAGCCCTGAGTTTTTTGAATATGGAGTCATCATTTGGGTTTTTATTCCGCAAACGTTCGAATATCTGAAAAATCAACGTATTATTGTTTATCTAGTAATTTAATTATATAATATATTTATTGTAAGTGAAATGTTATCGGTTATTTTAAAATCATAAAGCTGAATATAACAACAGTCGACAAGAAAGCATAAGGATTTCTTGATCAAGAATGCAGAAGGATCACTAATAATATATGGGTTTCAAAAAATGGTTGATTTTGAAAATTTTAGAAGCTGATGAAATAGGTAAGCCTGAACACAAAACTTTCAATATTTTTATAATCGCCAGTATTTTATTATTTTTAATTTTCTGATAATATACGTAGTTAATACACATAATTTTCATAATATTACTAAATATAAAGAAAAGGTTTCTATTTTTCTATTTGCAAACACAAATGGTAATATGTTGCTACAAAAAATAATTAAAAAGTATAATAGTATAGATGAAAAAATTGCAAATATAAATACTAAAACAAAACGATTTCAACGACGTTTCCAGATGACATATTAAAAATATTATAATATAATTTGTAAGAAAAATTAAGTATTTTTGTCAATCCTATAAGATTATTAAAATTAAAACCGTCGATCAAATAAACAGAACTGTAATTAAATTTACAAAACATGGAAACTGTGTGAAAATAATTTATTATATTTTTTTATGATGCTCATGAATATAAAAAGATATGTCACGAATTCAAACTCGATCTCATAAATAAAACAGTCAGTTCTTTTTATAAATAATAACTTCTCACTAGACCAAAAAAACGCTTGGAATAATAATAAGTTGAATAAATTTAGAATTGTACAAATATATATATATATATATATATATATATATATATATATATTATAATATTTACAAAATATGCACATATTCGAATAATTTTGAATATAACGGCCATTAGAGTTAGATAGATTAACGTGTATGAAGTTAGATGATATTTTAATGGTGAGCATAGATAACAAAAAAGTATGTGGAAGATATATATAATCCATAGAAGACTGTATGAAAGATATGAAAAAGATGAAAAATATAAGGTTTATAATTATTTATCGATATAAGATTATTAAAGTAAAAGTTGTTGATGAATGTAATTTGTTTCATTGAAAATTAAAGTGGTAATGCTTACATATATTATATAAAATTTATATATGAATAATTCATAGATAAAAAAAGAGTAAGAAATAATTATATATGATTAGGTGCAAAGTGATTGGTCACTACATTGCACAAGTTCACTTTGATCAAAAACCTTATGTCAAAACAAAACAACATGCTTAGATAGCTAATTAGAATTTTTGTATATCATAAAGTGTAGAATTCTCGTTTTTTAAGTGTGAATCATAGTTAATATAAGAAACATGAACACCAAGAAGTATACGCAAATCGCGGAAAACTTGAAACTAGAAACATCGCAGGAAATATTCAAAGTTTTCTTCGACTATACAAAAGGAGATCCGATCGATCCTGAAGATGTAGAATCACAGAAATTATTAACGTTCGTCTACAGTCAGTCTGAATCTCATTTAACACTCCTAGTACGATTGCGTAGACCAATTGTCAATACTGTATCCCTGATTGTTGATGTTGAGGACAAATTAGTTCATATGAAGTTTTATCTGAGTAAGCATGTACTTGTTTCTACGTTACAAGTTCCAGCAGCATTGCAGTCGGGTCGAGCGATAGTAAAAATGAAGAACCGGCAAATGTTCTGGGTGTACCTGAAGAAAGTACAAAAGGCGATTTGGCCATCGTTGGCAATCGACTCGAAATAAAATTTTTGGTTTAATAATTGTACTATATGTTGTGTTAAAAATAAATTCACTTGATCTTTTAATGTGTTTGAATTCTGACAGATAGTTTGCTTATGATAGAAATCTAACCACGGAGCGATGTGCCCTTGAATTATTTAGAAATATCAAATGGATTTCATTTTACGAAATTATCAATATTTTTAGATGCACATTCTTCAGTTAAGTAATATGTAATAATGTAGTAGTATAGTTATAAATAAAAACTTGAGATTTTAACACTTAACCATTTATATACCATTTTATTCGTAATTTTATTCTGCATCTTTCGTACGAACAAAGTTTTTTCGTATCTTTTACGGTTTAGATAGTATAGACTATAGAGCAATCTGTGTGTATCAATAGAATTTTAGGTATTACATTGTAGTCATATAATTTTTTAATACAAGTGATATATTTTTTTTTCGTTAATGTGCAATATAAAAAAGGACATAGAGAACGAGTAAAATAATAGTACATACTATTAAAAACTTTTTTGACAAAAACCCATAATATGTATATATTGAAATGTGACGGCGTGGTTGTTGACTTGGTTGCTTCTGGGTCCTTCTAGCTATGTAGGGGTAATCCTAGCAACCCAAGCTCAACTCGTCCACAGATATATGATAAGCGGGGTACTGGTTTGATAAGTCTCCTCGAACGGGGGTAGTTTCCTAGAGGTATTAGCTGGAAGACTTGGTGTAAATAAAATACAAGCTCTTCCGTAATTATAACCACTTTATTGAACAACACTAACAATATGACATTCAATGTCTAATAAACTAGAGTCACTTACAGTGTCTAGGATTTTACTAACTTTTACAAGAACTACTCGACTATTATATACTATAGTATCTGGGTCATTAATAATAAAACAAGGTGTTTTTGTAATGTACTGTTTATGGACTAAATAAATTTTATAACAAACTTACTGTTGCTGTCGCAATTGAAACAATTTTTGTTTACAATTGCGCAGGACAGTTGATGCTTCCCCTAAAAAGTCTGACAGTCCCTTGGCAGACATTAAAAAAAAAAAAATATTATTATTACGGCCTGTTCCTCCGTTTGAAAAATTTTGTCGTCCTCGATAAAATCAATTAAAGTGCCACCTTGGTTTATTACTAATGCCCTTCTGAATAAATATAAATTATTAAAAATTTTAATAATATTAATTTTAGTATAATAATATATACATATTCTGATGATTATGTAGTAATTAAAATTTCATAACACAAATTCTATACATTATAATATATCAAATTTCATTAGGTGTCAAATTCTGCATTTCTCTAGCCTCGGTGTTATTTTTCTGTTGAGTTGTGCGCTTTGTTATTATGCAAGCTATTAGCAATACCACTACAACTATTGATATTATAATTAAAATGTATACATATTTAGAGTTGCTACTAGTGTGTGGTATTGCTGCTTCTTGTTCTCTTTTAAATTGTTCTATATTTCTTGCAAACTGCTTTAACAGCTCATCATTATTGATACTATTCGAAAATCTGTAATACTTTGGAACTGTGTCAAGTGAAATGTTTCCAATTTTCAGTTCAATCCCAGATACATTTATTTTATTCATAAAATTATGTGTAACTATATTTTGAAATTTAGATTTAGCTCGAAGCGTAATTTCATGGTTAACTAACTTACATCCATCCGCAAGGCTTATCAGTCCTGTTCCTGATATCTCAGTAATATTTCTCGTATTTCTACAAGAAATACTAATGATTTCTCTTCCAGGACTGACAAATCCCCACGTATTTGCAGAGTGTAAGTTGAAAAATAAAGTGTGATTAAGTTTTAAAAATTTTGTCTTGCAACAATCTGGGATTTGCCCTTTCGAAAGAAACATTTCACTTTCACAATTTTTTCCATCTCTTAAATTGTATATGGGTTTGTTGATTTCCCAAATGAACTGATTATTATCAACAATGATGAGCTGATTAACTTCATTATCGTTCAGCGTTACATATTGAGTCAAATCCTTTTTGATCATTATTCGCGACGACTTCTGTTCAATAAATAAATAATTATTTGAACCGACGTGTTTCGGAATTGCGGTTGCCTGATATAGATCAAACTCATTTTCCGAAACAAGTGGTAATTTGATCTTGAAATTTAATTTATTATTAAAAATATAAATATTAATCTTTGCAATATTATAAATTTGGAGAAAATTCTTATTTAAAATACTAGAAGGAAATCTTAATGAATTTTCTAAATTTGGCGTGATTTTAAAGATTTGACTCTTTAATTGTCGTAAAGACATGACGTATGGGTGCATCTTCCCATGCAAAGCTGAAACGATAATTTCAGTTAATTTATTCTGATAGATTATAAAATTTTCTATATGATAATTGAAAATTATAAACATTTTCTCTATCTCCATCATTATATTAGCAATCTGCAACTCCTTTCCTGTTTTGTTAATAGTTTCAAAAATTTTATCAAAAGTGATTTCGATACTTTCAGTAATTTTATTCAATTGTTTTGTCAAATTATCTAAGGCTTTGAATTCCGACTTGTAAATTGCTACTTGTTGCTTATTTAAATTAATTAAATGATTTTGATTTTCTTGTAAAATTGAAATCTCTTGATCATAATACATAGCGTCGGACTCTGTCAAAGTACCAAAAAGTTGTTTAAAGACTGATCCAATAATGTTTAAAAGTGCGCGCTTGCTTCTTGTGCTGTCGCTTTCTTCTATTAAATCAATAATTATTTCATTTTGTGAATTTATACTTCTAAGTACATTATTGGATGAGTCTAGGAAAGGCTTGCAGATTTCTTCATATAATGATGTGTTGCATCTATTACTAAAAATATCATAAGTTGTTAAAATTCTCTTTAGATTCAACTTATAATCAAATAAATTATGTGAAATTATTAATTCAAAATAATCTCCGCACAACTCAACGTCACCTAGTCTCTCGTAATATATTCCGGGGCTATCAATGTAAGTAATATTGAAGGGGAGAGCCGTTTCGCCCGGAACCAAAAATGCCGTGAGAATTGCCAGAGATATTGCCAGAATTTTCGAATTCATCCTGTTGGGAAATGGGTTTTGTACTTGCAAATTCTATTAAAATTTAAATATTGAATTTTTTCAAATTATTATTATGAATAGTTATTATTTTACCCTTTACGTCTATCATTGAATTTACACCCTCTTGTTCTATTACCTTAAAAGGTCCCTTATAAATGGGCATAAGCTTTTTACACTTG